CCAGTGGCTCAGCGGTAAGTCTGCGAACTTCTAACGCTAAAAACTGGGTTTCGATATCCGTGATGAGTACAGCACAGATAGCCCATTGTGTAGGGACTATGCCTTTAACAACAAACAAACAAAACTTTTAAGCCCCCTCGGTGGTAAGTCTTTCTGCTTATAATTCTAAAAATCGGGATTCGATACCCGTGTTGGGGAGAGCACAGGTAACCCGTTTTATAGCTGGTTAACAACAAACAAGCAAAGTCTGAAAATTTGTAACTCTAAAAACCGGGTTTCGATACCCCTGGTGGGCACAGTATAGATAGCCCATTGTGTAGCTTTGCACTTTACAACAAAAACAAAACAAATTTGGTGCTGATACAATACAAAGTTAAGTAGCTAACGGTGACAAAAAACACGATAAATCCGCCGTCATTCTCAATGTTATCGGAAATCTGCTCAGACGAACACGAATATTATTTTATGATTTAACTTAGAAATAGTTCGTTTTGATTTTGCTCCTAGGCACAAAACTATACAGTTGGCTATCTGTGCTGTGCCCACTACGAGTATCGAAGCCATGTTTTTAGCGTTATGAGCCCCAGACTTACCGCTCAGCCAACTACTTCTACAGATATGTTTGTTTTTGTTTTTAATATAGATCCGTTTTTTTTTTGTTTGGTTTTATTTTTAGGATTCAAGTAACAGTTATCGCGTCAGGTGATTAACAAAACACAAATTTGAGAAGGATAAGAAATATTTGGAACAAGTCGTAATATAGACACTGGTAAATTTAATTTCGCAAACATAAACAACTAAATAAATATTTCCATATATATTAACTTTCATTCGGGTAGTAGTTTACCTCACTCCCTCTCCACCACTACCTAGATTGATGTTAAGAGACCAATAATTTTTGCACATTTTATGACGCCACATAAGGTTGTGGGATTTCAAGGCCAATTGCTTAGACTGTTTGGTGAATATTTTTTACCCCTTTTCTTTGAAGATGAGAGGCCCCCAAAACACTTATATATATATTCAGTTTTTACAGTAATCAAAAGCAGAAAAACCCTAAACCCGAAAGCTTTCTGTGGGTGGACATTAACTATTTACCCCTGCAGGAAGAATGTCTACCTTTTGGAAAGCGATGGGGGTTTTCTTTCTTCTTTCTCATTAGAACTTATATACTAATATTCGGGTTTACATATTCGCGGTGGGCGGAACACGGATAGACCATTGTGTAGCT